GGCAGGAGCCCACAGGCAGGAGCCCACAGGCAGGAGCCCACAGGCAGCTGCCATGAACAGAAGGAGGCGCCTGGAGGTTTCACATGAGGAGGACAACAACGAGCAGGACAGTGAATTTAGTGGAGAAGAGTCAGCTCGGAACCGTCAAGTAAGGTGGTGGTGGTGGGGGGTGCTTGACAGAAGTGGAGTGTTTACAAATGTAGGTAAATGTAGACGTTTAACAACCCATTACAATACAACAAAATGCAGGAAATCATGTCTATTTTACTCAAAATATTCTAGGGGAGGACCCCCTTGGCCCACCTGCTGTTCTGTTATGTATCGGTTTACAAATTAAGCCTTGTCTACACAGCATTACAGTGTCAAATGTTAGAAGACAACTAAAGGAATTCTGAAGGAGGCAAATGCAGCTACTTCTGTAAACTTTAACATATATCTGTAAAAATCCAAGCAGAGAAAAAATATTACATTTTAACATTTGAACCGTTTAAGAAGTGTAAAGAAATGAGAGAAAAATGTTAAAGCTGCTGCCATTGGCTTATTGTGGTTGTCATGGTAACCACACACCTGTGCCTGTCACTCCCTGACTGCTAAGTTCACGAGAAGCTGACATACTGAAAAGTAAGCCTCATAGAAACAATCATGTGAAAACTTTGTCAGGTCTTTAAAAAACCTTGACTTTGATAGCCAGACATTTTATATTTCTAGTGTTTTAATGTAGGAGATAAAAATCCAGTTTCTTTCGGCTGCTCCCTTCTTCAGGGGCTGCCACTGCGAGCAAACTCACATGAAAGATTTGGCAATTTGATTTACCCTTCCTGATGCAACCGGGGCTTGAACCCTCAACCTCAGGATTACAATAATAGGACACTCCACTTCCAGTTTTAAAGAGAATATTGAACTAAAATATATTTGAAGTTCATGAAAGTCTGGGTGTGCGCTCTCTTTGAGAGAATTTGAGAGAAAATATATTTTTGTTAAACAGGGAGAGCCACAGCGAGAAAAGAAAGAAATATATGTTTTGATGTATAAAGTTTTACGTACTAAAAAAGGGTTTGGGAGTAAGAAAAAATAGTTTGAACATTCAGAAAGCTCAAAGTTTGTGTGACATCATCAACAGCTGCCTCTAATACACTGGCACTACTGACACTTTTGAACTAGAAACAGGACAAGAAGCCAGAAGACACCATGGATGAGCTGGAGGCCGATTGTTGTACAATTTTTAAGTCTCGTCCCTTACTGTAAACGAATGGGACGTTTTTCTGACTAAAACAAATAAAAATAAAATCAAAGTACATTTCAGGTCATTTTTCAGGAGTTGATTTATGCACAGCAAGATGTTCAATTGTGCCTTTTTTATGAAATAGACTGTAACTTCTTAAATGTTCTGCAGCAAACCTTTTTTGAAGCTTTTTTAACTTTAATAAAATACTTGTATTTGACCATCTTTAGAATGAGCTTTGTTTCCAATTGTTGATCCTCTGCTGGAAATAGTTTTTTTTAGGCCTCACTAGTTGAGCACTAAATGGACTCAAGTATACGCTGCACACCAAACCATGAGATACAAAGTTTTGGGCTAAAAGTACAGTACGGTAGTGGGCAGCTGTGGCTGAATGGTTGGAGCAGTCGTCCTCCAATAGGAGAGTTGGGGGTTTGATTCCACCAGCAGTCACATGCTGAAGTGTCCCTGGGCAAGACACTGAACCCCCATTGCCTCTGATGTGTGTCCCATCAGTTTATGAATGTGATAAAGCTCTAATTAGTGTTTGTCTAGATCTAGTAGAGTGCTGAATGAATAGGTTAATGATGGCACAGATTGTGTTGTGAAGAGCTTTGAATGTCTTGGTATTATAGTAAGGTGCTATATAAGTACAGTCCATTTACCATTTACAGTATAAAAGAAGCAAGTATCCATATTACACATTAGGGAACCAACACAGTGTGACGATTATAATTAGCCACTGGCTGAAGTCACTAATATTGGTTTAGTTTACTCCTCTTAATGTCACTATGGATTTTCAACACTAAATAAAAAGTGGAAATATTACAACACCTGGTAGAAAGAGTATTAAACATTTACAATTTTGTCTACAAGTCTCTTATTAGTGCAAGTCAAACAGATGAACTGGTATGTGCACCATGATGTTTAAATTCTGACAGTTTCAAACATGATGAGGAATAATTCCAACTCTTCTCAGCCAGTCTCTTGTGGGTTTGCAGCTGATGTGAGAGTTGAAAGCTGATACCTGTTGACGCTGTCGTGTGCTGCCTGCACGCTGGTGTCGATCTGCAGGACGGTCTTGTAATCCACGTAGGCCTTTCGGTAACGTTCCAGGGACTCGTAAGCCATGGCCCGACGCAGGAGGGGCTTTAGGGAGAATGGCTGCAGCTCCAGGGCCCTGGTGAGTATAAATAGATGGAATTAGATGAGCACAACGGATCAAGTCTACTGTCTCTGTGATAAAAGCTGGAGAAGCTGAGTTCGGACACCTAAACTTAGTCACTTGATATTTAGGCTATTCCACGAGTGTTTGTATTAGTGTAGACAGTTATCAGCCCTAATGGTGTGTCCCCTGGGGCCTCATGTATCAGAGAGCAGCTTTCATACTGAACAAAAACTGTTGAACTCCTCCCCGACCCACCTTAATTTAAATGAGATGCAAACATACTGTGCATGTGTGATGCTTCTTTCTGCACAACAAAAATGATGCCTAGATGCAGGAAAATGAGGAATTCAGTGAAAAGAGAGTCAGAGACGCTTCTAAATACGACAGTGAGGCATAAAAATGTATTTTGCACACTGTCTTCTTGCATTTGGGTCATGTGCAAAGAGGAGTGAGGGGGTGTGTGAAGCTGTGGTTGTTGGAGCAGCGTACACACACAGGAGTAAAGAAAAGGTTGAATGGTCAGACAGAAGGGTGGAGTAAAGTGAAGGACAGATGCCCGTCACCTCCCATCCACTGACGTTAGACGGTGTACATGAATCGTACATTATTAGTGTAAAAGAGTGAAATGGGGTGGGGAGGTTTGCGGGGGGGGGGGGGGCTAAATCTGTTTCAGAGGCTGGTGAATTTCCAACTTTACACATTTTTAATAATATGATTTTTGTAAACACAGAGGCCCTCAGGTAGAACTTGGATGACCTAATGTCAAAAAATGAGTCACTGCACATCAGTGGAAAATTTCAGCCTCGTTGTGTGTGTGGGGTGGGGTGGGGGGTGGGGGGTTGATATATCTGGACATCATACTAGCAGTCCCATACAGATGTCATGGAACAACTCAGGGACAGCTGTGATACAGATCACCTGTCAGGCCAGGACTCTGTGTCTACACTCATCTGTAGGCCAGAGGTCACTCTTTCAGGGATGAAGATGTTCACATCCTGGGTAGAGAGGAACAATGGTTTGAGAGAGGAGTAAAGGAGGCCATCTTTGTGAAGAGAACATGTCTATTAAACAGAGGCAGAGGCCTCATGTCCAACTGTCCCCTCTTACAATGCTGTTATTGCATCACTCAGCCCTCTGTGAATAGTAAACACCACTCACAGACCAAGCATTAGGCTGATGGTCCTTCTTTATTCAATTCAATTCAATTCAATTCAAAAATACTTTATTAATCCCAAAGGGAAATTATTTGTTGTTGTAACTCGTTATCTTCATTTCATTAAGAGATGTTATAGATGCTGATGGCTGTAGGCAGGAAGGATCTCTTGTAAAGGTCCATCCCACAGTGGATCCCAAGAAACCAGCTGCAGATGCCGTCCGATACGTCCACCCAGACTCGGCTGGCCTCTCGGTTCCCCCGGACTGTAGGACCGCCCGAATGCTGGACAGAACTCCTCCCAGCAGTTTGCCGAGCTCCTTGTTGCTGCGGACAGCCAACTGTAGGTGCTGAAGGACGATCCTGTCTTTCCGCTGTCATGACCCATGTTTCCTTCTAGTTCCAGGATCTCAGTGGTCAGACACTCTAGCACAGCTGGCAGGTAGATGTGAATGCGTCCACAGAACATCCTTTTCAACTCATTTGAGATTTGGGGCTGTAGTTGAGATATTATTTGATCTTTTGAGTTGTTAATCAGCTGCTGCTGGTTGTAGAAAACTGCCTTGTTGCCATGGTTACGCATCATAACAAATGTCCAAAACTAAAAAAGTTTCAGTAAAAATCCTTCCAGCTGCACAGCATCTGATCCCAGAGGTAACCATCATCCAAAAAAATTGTGATTTACATCCAGAAAAAGAGGAATTAAAGTTTCCAAAAGCAAAACCTCAGAATGAAAGTAACAGAGCTGCTCCAACATGCAGCCACCTGGAGCGGCACAATTCTAGAACATATCATGTGAACAGCTAGTTCTGGATGTCAACAACAAACTGGTTGATTCACTATGAGAAGGTGCTATTTATAAGACTGAGTTTATTACATCTCCTTTTGGATAAAAGACGAAACAAAAAAGAATCCATCCAGAGGAGCTGACTCAACCTTGAGAGATGTATCTACCTGGATTATTGAGCAGCATCAGGATGTCAGGCAGATCCCTCTGAAAGGCTCTGGTTGTAAGGAACCCCATCTTAGCAAGGTCTCCAAGTCCAGGATTTTCTCATGTGTTACAGTATTCGATTTACAGTCTTTACAAACTCTTCATGACCGGCTGCCATGAAGTCTTTCACATGCAGTTTGATAAAATCTAGTCCAGTTTTATTCTGAACTTCATTCAACAGAGGTTTTCTCTGTGCCACTCTCCCTTAAAGCTTAGACTGGTGAAGAACCAGGGATACAGTTGTTGTACGCTCTGACTCTCCCATCTGACCTGCTGACGTTTCCTTCAGAGGGGTCCCAGGTGTCTGAGGTCTCTCACTATTCTCCTTTTTGCACGGTCAGATTGTAAAGAGTGCCTAGTCTTAGTAGATTTACACATGTTCCATATTTCTTCCATTTCTTGATGATGGATTTAACAGAGGGCGACACGGTGGCGCAACTGGTAGAGCTGCTGCCTCTCAGCGAGCAGGTTCCTGGTTCAAATCCCGGTCCGGGGGCCTTTCTGGGTGGAGTTTGCATGTTCTCTCTGTGCATGCATGGGTTTTCTCCAGGTATTCCAGTTTCCTCCCACAGACCAAAAACATGAATGTTAGGCTGATTGGTAACTCTAAATTGTCTCTAGGTGTGAGAGAGAGTGAATGGTTGTTTGTCTCGTTTGTCTCTATGTGGCCCTGTGATGGACTGGAGACCTGTCCAGGGTGTCCCCCCCTCCTCGCACAGTGATTGCTGGACATGGGCACCGGCGACCCCCGTGACCCAAAATGGAAGAAGCGGGTAAAGATAATGGATGGATGGATGGAATTAGGACACTTACTTTAAAGGAGATGAATATTTATGAACATAACTTTATTTAATTAGTATTACTCTGTAGAAATTTGATTTTGTTTTGTCATTGAAGGTTTTTTTGTTCATGTATTTTGGTACAAAAAAAGGCCACCTCTCACCTTGTGCAGTCCTGTATGCAATCTTGACTATTGCCATCTTTCAAGTAACACGCTGCTCTGTTAGAATACAGAATACAAAGATCCTCTGGACTGTCAATCCCTGCAGAGAAAGAATTCATTTTCACATGATTAACATAGTTAATTTGTTCTTAACTTATTTACCACAAACATGCACACAAAACGCACATTAGAACTTGTCAGCTTGAATAAATGTAGCTTTAAATGCCTAAATGTGTTGTCATGAATCATTTTCTGTTCAGAGCTTGTCAGACACTTTTCTGTGCTCTGACCTCACCCAGAGGAACGGAAGAAATGTGAGAAATTCCACCTCAGTGTTTTTCATTTGCGTGTGAGGGTTTATGTTGCAATGCTGAGTTTCTGTACTGAAGAAATCCCTAAACATTTGTTTGTTTCAAAGAGTGGCTTTCCAAGCAACACAAAACTCACTTTTTATTTATTCACTGAGATAAACATTAAGTCATTTGCACATATACTTACAGCCTCTGGCAACAATGAAGGAATTACCACTGGGAAGATGTTCTTTGTTGATGTTTAGTTTGGCAAAAAATGATCACAGACATGCAGCAACTTTGAGCCTAAAACAACAGTTTGAATTCTCTGAGGCTTGGACAGTTCATGAATCTGACTCCGTCTCTTACTGCTGGTCCCTGACCAGCTCTAAATGTTAGAGTCTTGTCATTATTCCTTCTATTCAGGACTGTTTTGAAAAAGTCATGGAATAACAAGTATCCACATTTTCTACATAGACTGACATTTATTGAAGATGTAATGATTGACACCACCCCTCCCCGCTCCCACCATGCCTTTACCCATCATGAAGACCCAGCTCATCTCTGTTGAAATTCATGTTTTCTACAGTCATCTTCATAAATATGTTCAGGCATTAAAAGTGGCTTTTGTTTGATTTTTCTGTCTGTAAAGCTTGTTTCTTTTAAGCAGTTTCTCACAGCTCAGACAAAGACTCCACTTTCTTCTCATTTATTTCTCATTTGTTTTGTTTTACATTTTCTGTTTTCAAGACATGTAGTCTATCTTCAAAGGATGATGTCTTCGTTTGTTGGCCAGTGTGCTTCCCTTTTACAACCCTCTCATTGTGTTTGAACTTGGTCCAGACTTTAGACACAGCTGATTGGAGACAACCAACATCTTTTGTCAGAGTTTCTTTATTTGTCACACGCACCACATGTGCTACATGCGGTGGAACGAAAATGTGGAAACATTTTTTGCAACATTCTGTGATGATTTATCTTCTGGAAGAAGTTTCATAATTATCTGTCAGCTGACATCTCTCCTGTTGGAACTATGGTTCATGTCAATCTGCTTTAAAAAATGATAGTTCATACAAAATGATCAAACTGGAAGAGCATCTGCCAAGAGTGCTCTGAGACTTATTTAGGGGTTGTGTCATGTAGGGGTTTGTGTTGTCATGACTGTTGCACAGGCAGGTTTTCAGTCTTACAGGCAATGCAGGTCTTGTAAGACCCTGACAGGCAGGTGCCTCTCTGCTTCATCTCTTTATGTACTGTACACAATTAATATCCACACGAAAGCTCCAGGTTTAACATAACTCAAGAGAAAGCTGCTTTAAAGCCATTTTTCCTTCAGAAGGTTTATCAGCTTTTTCACTCAACCCACACATTCTGTTTTTTTCTTTGCTCTGCACTTGTTTAACAAGAATTCCCTGTTTTACCACTTGCATATGCTTGAAAACATGCTTGCCTGTCACTGACAGCAACATTCTTCACTAGAGTCAGTTTAGCATGCCAGCTCTTCAGATGAAATCAGTGCTGTGGTGCAACAGCAGTCAGGTTACACTGATCACCTACAGTATGAATGAGTGTCTACAAGTTTGAAATATTACATTTTTCAAAGTTTTTTGAGACATTTCTGACACCAAAGTGTTTGTGAGTTTTATGTTTTTTTGAACGCAGGTGCATTTTCATTGTTTGTATGGTTCTGCGACAATACTGGATGTTAAAAAAGTTGTTTTCCTTTAAATATTGTTTCCCCTCCTTTTTTACTCTGACTTTACAATAGACTTTGTGAGAAGGATACATAAAACTGTAAAATATGTTTTTTTTCTCCATAAATATTATTCATTTTACTTTAACTTTTAAGAAAATATAAATGCTTTTTTAAATTTTGTCCAAGAAAAAACATTTTTGTTTAGTTTAGCAAAATCTCATCACTCCAATTTTTTTTAGTTAGAACTTTGTTTAGCTCATCAAGTAAATAGAAAGTCACGTTTTCCTAAATGACATAACTGATTGATAATTGATGTATCTTATACCAAAAAAGTATTTCTATTTTAGTTTCTGAAAGTGAGTAATCATGTTTTATGAACCAAACGTGGACGCCAGGGCCACTGTGTTTATATGTTTTCTTGGAGCTGCTCTCTTCTGCAGGGGACGCCACACTGAGTGAAGCCACATGAAAAATATGCTCACTGGTTTACGCCAAATGATCTTCCTGACTCAACCTGGGCTCAAACCTGCAGGCTCAGAGCTACAAGACCACAGCACTGACCACCGAGCGTTCTCAGCCCCACTTATACTTTATCACTGTAAAAAATTAGAAATATAGATATTTATTTTCTGTAAAATACAATAAGTAATGAACTGAAAGCATTAATATTTTACATACCTGTATTTTTTAATATACTTTAGAAATAATATTATTTATACTGTGGTGCTTGAAAGTTTGCAAACTCGTAATTTTCTATATTTCTGCATAAACATGACCTAAAACATCAGATTTTCAAACAAATCCTAAAAGTAGATAAAGAGAACCCGGTTAAACAAATGAGACAAAAATATTATGCCTTGTCACTTTTTTATTGAGGAAAAGTATCCAATATGACATCTGTAAATATGTATATCTGTAAAAGTATGTGAACCTCTAGGATTAGCAGTTAATTAGAAGATGAAATTAGAGTCAGGTGTTTTCAATCAATGGTTGATGATCAGGTGTGGGTGGACACCCTGTTTGATTTAAAGAACAGGATCTATCAAAGTCTGATCTTCACAACATGTTTGTGGAAGTTATCATGACAGGAACAAAGGAGATTTCTGAGGAGCTCAGAAAAAGAGTTGTTGAAGCTCATCAGGCTGGAAAAGGTCACAAAACATCTCTAAAGAGTTTGGACTCCAAACTTATCAAGATACTCAAAGTGCTTTACACCAGTGGTTCTCATGGGGTCCGTGAACTGGGGCTTGGGGGCTGGCAAAAAAAATAAAATAAATAAATAAAAAT